ACGCCCACTGCAGGAGTGATACTGTATCAGACTCACTCACAGCAGGAGTGACACTGTATCAGACACTCACAGCAGGAGTGACAGTCTCAGACACACTACATTGGGTCAGACATGCCTGTAGTAAGACTGACACTTCTAGACACACCTGTAATTTTCTGTTGCAATAAACACAGAAAAGTATAATATAGTAAGGCTACAAATCTCAATCAAAGTGTGCCTGAAAAATATCAACTTGGGACACATAAAATATAAAACAATATAAAATTTTAAATATACATCTTCAGTAAAAGAGAAATCTAATTTTTCCTTTCAGTCTAGTACTACTAATCTAGTATTAACAAATGGATTTGAAATGTTGTTTTCTTTCTTCTCTTCTCAGCAGGGAATAAACCTCTTACTTGTTCCTTTGCAACCTACGCATGCTGACTCAGCTCCCCACCTGAACTAGGATTAAATACTCCATTTTCCAGATACTGAAAGACTTGCCTGACTTGCAACTAAACTTTCAAAACAGGTGCAGAAGGAAGAGAACAGAAACTGAGAACAAACTCTGGTGCTGTGTGCGAGAGATCAGGTCTGGGTACGTGCTGTTTGGCTCATGCAGTGCAGTTTGGGGTTTCTGTCTGCACGTCTCAGGACTTCTGACTGTCCTCTGAGCAAGGACAGCAAAGAGAGAGTTTCATTATTCTAGTCATTATGAAAAATACATACTGCACCACAGCCTGTGAAATGAGAAGCTTTAACTACACAAAAACTAGAAGTGAGTTGTTTTCTCAACAAAAAATTTGCTTTCTCATGTTTGTGGGGTATTGTACACGTTGTAAAGGCACTTTCATAAAACCCATTTCGATGCCTTGAACTAATACACTGGAACCACAGAAAGACTGATCAGACAGGGCAGTGCGTCTGCAACAGTAAACGACTGGCTGCACCTGTATCTCTTAGTATTTGAATTATTTTCTGGTCTACCCGTTAGCTAAACCAATCCTTCCATAATAAATGGTTCACAACTAGGGTCAGGGGGATTGTTTTTGCTAGACGAAGGAATAGCAGAACAGGAAATGGTCTTAACAAACCCAGCACTCTTAGGATTGTTGCTGCTGCTTAAGGTTCAAAGACATGCAATTAGAAATAACATGACCTTTCTTGTGGAAGTAAAAACATTCACGCTCCTCTTTAGGATGTGGGGGACTAGTTTTTACTGGGGGAGACCAAGGTTGTGAACTGGGGTAGACAGTCTTCTCCGCAGACACAGACATGAAAATGTTTCTGTGCGTGAGCACAAACTCATCTGCCAAAACAGCTGCTTGCGATAAAGAAGTTATTTTGTTCTTTCAAATACACAACCACACGTTCAGGTAAACAACCTTTAAACTTCTCCAGCAAGACTAACTCACATGATGAGTTAAAATCATTCACTTTGCTGGCTGCGCACCACTTATCAATGAGAACGCCCTTCTCTTCAACGAAAGTTTGGCTCAACACTTTCTGGTGGTTTCGAAATCGTTGTCTATACGCCTCAGGAACCAGTTTGTATGCATGTAGGATTGCAGCCTTCACAGTATCCTAGTGCAATCTTTCTTCTAAAGAAAGTGTAGAGCAAACTTCCTGAGCTTTGCCCACTAACCTACACTGCAACAGCAGTGACCAGACCTCCTCAGGCCAGCGAAGCGATGTAGAAACGCGCCCGAATGCACCAAAGTACGAGTCAGCTTCCGTCTCCCTGAACAGAGGAACTAAAGCACTGTGCTTACTTACATCGAGGGTGGTCGAGAGTGGATCATGCACAAGAGACACGCTAGAGGCCTCGGAGTGGGGCGGCTGCGCAGCAGGAGCATTCCCTCTTGCTTCTGGCCCAAGCTGTCGGAGCTTAACCTCTTTCTCCGCCTTGATCTCCATCTTACGAATTACAAGGCGCAATTCAAATTCTGCCTAGTGTTCCTGGGCTCTTTCCTGCGCCCCCATGTGCAAGCGGGCCGGACGAACTTTCAGGCGAGTCTCGCTTTTTGACCCAGTGGAGACGGGAGAGAACGGATCAAAGGGAGGCAAGGTGGCCTTGACCTCAGCCACCCCCGGCACCTGGTCCTGTTCTTCTACAACCATAGCAGGGTTAGCACCGGCCCCAGGAGAACCGGCGTCCTCGCTCGCTAGTGCAACGACCTCTAACTCCTCCACCTATCCATCACAGCTCTCTTGATGTTCCTTCTAAGAGCTTCTCCGATGCCTGAATCCGGAAGCGATCGGCAACTTGGAGCAAATCGTCCTTCCTACACCTGTCCAGCTGCTCAGAGGAAGGTTCCTCCACAAACTTTTGCAAATTGAAAGGAGCCATAACTACCTTGCGTGAGAAACACAATCCAAATCTTTCAATCCAGTCCTTACTCCACAAAATACCAAATAACACTAACCAGTCCAAAAACGTACAAAAGTACAGTGTGATAACAAGGGTTGGTGCAAAAAGTGATTATTTAAAGGTGAATAAGTGACTGGTACGTAATAAGACACGATAACACACAGGGGTAGGGAACTAGAGTGGTGCCGAAGAAAAAAACAAAACAAAATGGAGCTGGCTAAGAAAGTTATGAAGGTCTTCCCAGCGGATATTGAGGAACGACAGAGCGATTGTACATAAAAATAATCTTTTATAAGAACTGCCTTCCCATGCGTGCTGTGGAGCCCGGTGCGACACCCTGTCCGCTCACTGGCGCCCCCTGGTGGCTGTGGCAGATCCGACCGGTACCGGGCGGCTGGCAGGTGTGGTCGGAAGCGGCCCGGTCCGGTATCTGGCCCGGAACCGGGGTGCTGGGCTTGCTGGTTCTTCTGCACTGGGTTTTCAGGGAAGGAGTAGGTAAACGTTGAGTTAAACGCTGAAGGGTGAAAAGAAGAAACGCAACTTTCGGGCGTCTCCGCGGTTGTCTTTAAAAACGAAAGCAAAAGCCGTTTTTATTTCGCGATTCTGAAACCCCAGAAGAACAGACAGTGCGCTGCTGCCTGGAGCCGGAGCCGTTTTTTATTTCTTGTTTACCGTCTTTTTAAAATCGCTCCCGGGTTTCTGTCGGGAGATCGGCTGTGACAGCTGTGTGTGACGGGACTTTGCTCAGGGGCTGGTGTTCAGTGAGAGGATTAACACCGTTTTCACCAAGGCTCCAGTCCAGCACCCGATCCGCAGAAACACACACACACCGGTTCAAGACGGGAGTCCCGGAGTCCGGCAACTGAGGCGTGAAGATGACCGCGGGTGAGAGTCTGGCTTCTCTCCTAAACCTGCGCTCTGAGCGGACCGGGTGTTAATGGGGCTATTGAAAATAAAACGGTGACCGCTGTAAGAGTACGATATTAGACATACAGATGACAAGGTTCGTTTAGGAACGCGCGTTCTTCTTATGTGCACTGTATATTTCTTAAAGACAGACTGGACTGAATGTAATATCGGCATGGTCCATCGTTTAATCTAGAGTGGATTAATGTCCCATCTATTACTTTACCAAACCGGCCTCTCTTCTGATGTCTTTCTTATGTCTTTATGTCGCGATACGCGAGTTGACTAGATTAGTTGCAGTTCTGGTTAGACTCCACAGCGTTTGCAGTTTTCCGCTGGCAGGCCCGGGAGAGGAGACGGACACGATCAGTTTAGAAGCGCTCAGATCAGTCTCGTCTCTCATTGTCCACCAAGAGGAATAGGACGCGGTCGCCAGGCAGGATGACGGCGCAGGTCACCCGGCTGGACCGTGTTATGCTCTTCGGGACTGGTGTGCTGTACAGAGGAATTAAACAAGCTGATGGGACAAGACAGAGAGTCCGGACCCAAGCACCTCTTGGGTATCCTGGAACCAGCACCGGAAGTGCTTTTTAAAACGGAGGAAAAATAAAAAATAAAAACACACGTTCAAAGTCAGACTGGAGAGTCGGATCTCTAGCTCGGGTCGACCGACAGCAGCTTTGTCTTGGAAAAGTGTGTTCAAGCTGTAATGAGAGAGTACAGAAAGACTGAGCTGAGCTCAACTGTGACGCGTTAACAATCGCATAAAAACTTGGTGAGGAATGAAAGTTTAATGTCATTCCCAAATGCCTTCGAACACATTTTAACGTGTAGGACTTTAGCGCCTTTTTTTTCACCCAACAAGCTACTCAGCCCTGTTGTTGGAGCTGACACCCCAGCTCCTCTGGAGGCACAGCTGGATTCGAGCCAGTCGTCCGGTGATCTGACAGAAGGACAGTCAGCAGTGCTTTGATCTGACCAGCTGTTTCCTGAAAGATATCAGTTTCACTATCTTCCCTAAGCTAGCTTGTTCCACACTCTCACCGCCCTTTGTGTAAAGAAGTGCCTCCTGTTTTTCTCCCAGTTTTCTGCATGAATTTGACTCATTGTAAACGGCCTGTTTTTCAGTGGCCTCAGACCCTCTCAGAGTAGTGCTGGTTGGGCTCAGCGGAGTGGGGAAGAGTGCATCAGGAAACACCATCCTGGGCAGAGAGGAGTTCGGATCAGAGACCAGCCCCTCCTCACTCACTCTGAGGAGCCAGGAGGCGCAGGGAGAGGTGTGTGGGAGAAGAGTCACTGTGGTCGACACCCCAGGCCTGTTCAACACTGAGCTCTCTGACAAGGATCTGAGAGGAGAGATCCGGAGAGCTGTCCCGCTGTCGGCCCCTGGACCCCACGCTGTCCTCCTGGTCATCCAGCTGGGCCGCTTCTCCCAGCAGGAGAAGAGAGCAGTGGAGACCCTGCAGGAGCTGCTGGGAGAGGGGGTGAGCCGGTACACAGTGGTCCTCTTCACTCACGGAGACAGGCTGAGAGGCAGGAGTCTCCAGGAGTTTGTCCAGCAGGATGGGAACCTGCAGAGGATCATTCAGAAATGTGGGAACAGGTGTCACCTCTTCAACAACACTGACAGGGGAGACGGCTCTCAGGTCAGGGAGCTCTTGGAGAAGGTGGAGAAGCTGGTGGAGGAGAACGGCGGGGCCTACAATCCCATGACCAAACCACGCGCTGTGGGCAGGTGGATGCTGATCCACCTGGTCTCAGTGCTGGCAGGGATGGCGGTAGGGGCTGCCACGGTGCCCAGGGAACAAGCATGGGTGGCAAGGGCGGCACTGGGAGCCCTGATTGGGGGATTGACAGGCATCTGCCTCTCCAGCCTCTCCAGCTTCCTTCTTGACCTGGGAACACGGAGATCTGCCGGCTCTGAGGAAGACCGCCGAAAAGACCGCTGAGGATCGCAGTGACCGCTAACAGGCCTCTCCGGCACAGCTCCGGGGTCTGCAGGAGGTGACCGCTGGGCTGGACAGGCAGCACGTAGTGGTGACCATTGTCCACTGTGCAGCATGTTCAACACGGCAACAGGACCAACTGGACAGTTCGGAGACCCAGCCCGTCTGTGAGTCAGTAAACCGGACAAGGTCATCACTGTCCCTTCTGTCCTACAGCACAGTGACACTGGAAAACTGCTGCACAGCTGAAATTCAATAAAATACAGCAAAAATAAATGTCACTGTTCCTCATTTTGTTCTCTTTAACATCATTATTGAATCACCTCATAAAACACAAGATTGAAAGAAATATAAAGGTGTAGTTTAAGTACTGTATAAAAAGGGATCGTACTAGTTTTATCTGCTCCACGTATTTCCTTCATCTCATCCCCAGCACTCTCCCCAGCTGTACTGTCCCTATGGAATCACAGTGTGACTTCCACTACTTCTTCACTGAGCAATTAGCGGTTCGTTAAGCAATTGATTTCTTCCTGTTGTAGCCCTGATCTGCCTGCAGTGTCAGGTGTGTATGTTGGGTCTTAAAGACTTGATTCCTTTACCGACACAGTAAACACAATCACTTTCTTCTTAAATCCCTTTTTTAAGAATCCACATGAAGGCAGTTCATATTCACCTAATTGAAGTGGGACACATATACATGTTCAGGGTAATAGTGCTTCATTCCTTCAGGGAATGTCTGTAATACTCCCTGGAAAATGTTCCTTTAGCTGCGTCCTGCCAGTCACCCTAAAGGGCTCAAGGTCTGTTAAAGTATGATAAGAACTCACTTTCTAAAGCCAGCAGTATTTTGTTTTCTCCTTAAGAAGCTGTTTAGATCAACTTCAAGGAACAGGATGAAAACCATCTGTCTATAACAAAACCACCCCCTTTCATGTACTGTATAGTACCATGTGTATCTACTGTATACTGCATATAATAATAATAATAATAATAATAATAATAATAATTGCTTACACTTATAAAGCGCTTTTCTGGACACTCCACTCAAAGCGCTTTTCAGGTAGTGGGGATCCCCTCCACCACCACCAGTGTGCAGCCCCACCTGGGAAACTGTAGCAGACTGTAGGGCAGTCTCTACTCAGTGCTGTGTGCACGGATATCCGTAAGACTCTTTTCTGTTCTCTACAGTACGTCCATGGCCGTGTCCCCGTTCCCGTGTGACGTCACTCGCTGGGCGCACGGCTCAGGCTCAGAATGCTGTCTTTATGTCGGCAGATCATTTTTCAGGAGAATGTGTCATTCTCCGCTCGCAGCTTTATGAAATTGAATTTCTTCTCGTCCCTCCCTGCACAAAAGTAGCGACACGTCGCGCTCCTTCATGCTCGACTCGAAACGGGCGGAGTAAACGCAGGAAAACTTGCCAAACCTTCTCTCTGTTTATTCAAAGCTTTATGCTAATAAATACTGTATTTCATATCGTCTGTCCCAGTTCAAAGTACGCGGAACATAACGCGTTCTTTCACGTTCATGCAAAATCAGGTCAATTTGGCAACGCCTCAAAGCTGTGTACTGTAGCGCCCTCATCAGGCGGTGATGGGCACTGAGTGGACGAGCAAACTGAAAACTGAGGTTTAGCGATATTAACGCGTTTATGAATATCATGGCTGGGCTGGTTCTTTCTCCTCCGCCGCAGATCGAAGACGAAGAAGGAAGTTGAATCGTGAGCCCTCGCCTGAGAGTAGTAAACATAATTCCCTTCCCCCTCCCGCAAAAAGAGCGTTTTGCGATATGTGTAAGTATGAGTATTTAAACGCCAGAACTACAAAAAAAAAAAAGGAGACAGAAGATTAAAATACAGAAATAGACACTCCACAGCCAGAGGAATTAACAACTGTAAATTAGAAATTATACTTTTTACATATTTCTATTGTATGTCTTGCCTTTTGATTTGAATTTCTAATAAATTCCTGTTTTATTTAAAATATAATTTAAAAAAGTATAAATATTTTTTATTATTATTATTATTATTAGTAGTAGTAGTAGTAGTAGTATTTGCTAACTTCTTCGACTGCAAGCTGTAAAAGTGCGTTTTCGCCGAGGCTTCTTGGGGAATGTTCTAGAAACCTGTTGCGCTTATTTGCCGTGTGCTGACTTGGCTCGGTTGTACTGTAGGTATTTCGAACGTGAAACAGTATCTGTCCATTTTTAAAAAATAGGGGGTGGTCACATGTGCGCTAAGTTTGCATCAGAGCCGAAGTATTTTTCGAAATCGGGCTTTTGTCAAGTGGCTCTCAGTCTTGATCCTGGAGCTGGGGTCTGATCACCGTTTCGTCTCAACTTCATACGAAACGTCTGTGTGTGATACTGCCTCCAAATCCGGAAGCCCAGGGAGTAAAAAAAAGAGAGAGCTATGGTATCTCGCAAGTCCGACTTTACATCTCAGAATTGCGACTTAAAAACACAGAATTTCGACTTTTTATCTCACATTTGCGACCTCGAAATAGCCCATATTTCACTGTCTCCCCTCTTGTTATTGTAACGAAGAATGAAAGAAGACTTTCGGTAGCCCCGGCGGACGGCAGCCCTGTTATGCGCAGGGGAGGGCGGTGGTGTCCCGGCACTGCAACCCGATCGTACAACCTGTATGTCGGCCGGTCCGTCACACTAAATTCAGGATCATAGGATCTATAGGCCTGAGGACTGGTCTTGTACAGTGCCCTGATAAAAATCAAATTAATGACACTCGTTTTTATAGAATCCCATTTCCGCCAGTGAGGCTTCCATAGTGCCCGGATGGAATAGTGGACGGTGGGCTTTTAAAAAAAAAGTTTTTATTTATACACCAGAAATACAAAAAGACAGAGACAGAATATGAAATAAGATACAGAAATAGACACTTCACATCCAGAGGAATTCACAATTATAAAAGCTGAAACGTATACGTTTTACATATTTCCAGTGTATGTCTTGCCTTTAGATTCTCTACATTCCTAATAGAATTGAAGTAAAAAAGGAATTGTACTTGAAAAGATTAACAGAGGGAGCAGTATTGGACCATTTACTTCTGTGGATGAAGTATGTCGCCAAAATAATTAACAGATGAATAATAAAAAAACATATCCTTTATCCAAATCAGATCTAACAAAATTAAAATAATATCAGAATCTTTCAATTTAACATTTACCTTTTAAATGTTTAACAATAACATTTTGCAACTCTATCCAAATACAAGCTGTAAACGTGCGTTTTCACAAACCTACACCTAACAAATAAATGCGCCAAAGACTCCCCCTTCAGCCCGACAAAAAACACACACATCACCCTGCTCGTGCTTAAATTAAGAGAGCATTGATTCAACTGGATAAAACTTATGAACAATTTTAAACGACATCTCTTTAACCTTATTTGTAATACAATATCGGGAGTCGTCCAGACTAATTTCCAAATTATATTTTCAAACATTGCATTCCAAAAAGATCAAGAAGGAAAGGATTAGTTAGAACACCGCACGCGGCGGAGAGGGCAGGACGTCTTCACAGAACTTCCTGAAGGTGGGGCTTTAGTTACTGTATATAAACGCTTGTAGCTGAGCTTCAGGCGCAGATCGAAGACGAAGGAGAATCGTGAGCCCTCGTCTGAGAGTAGTAAAAATAATTCCCTTCCCCCTCCCGCAAGAAGAGCGTTTTGCGATATGTGTAAGTATGAGTATTTATTTAAACGCCAGAACTACAAAAAGAGAGACCGAATATGAAATAAGATACAGAAATACACTTCACATCCAGAGGAATTCACAATTATAAAAGCTGAAACTTATACTTTTTACATATTTCCAGTGTATGTCTTGCCTTTTGATTCTCTACATTCCTAATAGAATTGAAGTAAAAAAGGAATTCAACTTTAAAAGATTAACAGAGGGAGCAGGTTTAGACCATTTACTTCTGTGGATGAAGTATTTCGCCAACATGATTAACAGATTAATAATAAAAACATATCCTTTATCCAAATGAGATCTAACAAAATATAGTATAATATCAGAATCTTGCAATTGAACATTTACCTCTAAATGTTTAACAATAACATTTTGGAAATCAATCCAAAACAATTTTGGTAAAATTCCTTTTTACTTAAGAAAGTCTTCTTTAGCTCAGCTGGCAAGACCTGGGTTCGAGCCACTGCAGTGAGGGCACGAGCCCTAGAACCCGAATCGGTTCCAACAACAAGAGGACAGACAGTGAAATATGGGCTATTTCGAAGTCGCAAATGTGAGATAAAAAGTCGCAATTCTGAGATACAAAGTCGCAATTGCGAGAGACCGTAGCGCCTCTTTTACTCCCTGGCGGAAACGGGCTTCCATACTGATCAGTGTACTGGTTTAGTCTGTTGGGTTTTTTGCTGTTAGTCCAAGGTTTCGAAACCACATATGCAGCCATTTTGAATTCATGGTGTTTTCTCGACATACAGCAGCGCTTTTATTAAGTTTCGTTTTCCCCAAAAATAATTTGACGCAAGACCGCTACTCTGTAAAGCCGACAGGAAGCGCAGTGAGTTTAATTTCCGCAGCTTCCTGGGACTGTCCGACATTTCGGAAAACTATTAACCCTACTAAGTAGTAAATTACTAACCCTTTAATACCTTCCTGCGCTATAATCATGCAGTTTGCATACGGTACTAGCGACAAAGAATTTCTGTAAATACAGTGACAACATTGAGACAGGTTGTTACCACAACTCTATTTGAGAAATATCATAATACTCTGTGGCATTTAGAATTTTAATTACAGTATATGGAATTATTTTAACTGTGTAAAATAGTCATTAGAAAAACAAATTTAGCCTTCGATTATAACATATTTTTAAAACAAAAGTGGCCAGATTAAAATATTGAGTTTGCCTGTATGTACTGCTCAAAATATTGTCTGTAGATATTTACAGAATTCTTAAAACCCTGGCCTTTACCCATCATGGCCTCCTAATAACCCCCCTCTGAACTGGCTTCATCACTCTGCTCTCCCTCCCCACTGAGAGCTGGTGTGTGTGAACAGACTGGAGCATCATCCAGGAGGGGTACACACTGGTGGGGGCGGAGGGGATCCCCATTACCTGAGTCCAGAAAAGTGCTATATAAGTGTAAGCAATTGTAGTATTCTTCTGGTCTGCCATTATTTGCTCCTGGGCAAACTCTGCCTGTGTCTGGGGGGGACAAGCCCTTGCATTTGGATTCCCTGTGTGTTGCATTTATTTCAGGAAACCATGTCTATATACCATCTAAAATGTTATGTTTTCAAGATGTAAGATTATGAGAAGATTAAACTGTTCAGTAACATCTAACAACAGAAGTGCTGTGTATTGTTCTGGTTTGAGCAGTGAAGAGTATCCCGCAGTTTTCTTTTGGCCAAGGTGACTTTTGACGTGCATTCTAGATGACTGCAGCTGTGCTCTATAAAGTGCGTTTCCAACTCGTTCGGAGAAGAGGACTTGAAACAGTCTTTACAACCTGCTAACTGAGATCTTCCTTATTTCTGATTAAACATCTCGGGGAAAAAGGGATCGATCTGTGGTGACCAGACAGGTGGAATTGAGACAATGAAACAGCCCTGTAGTTTAGCTGTATTTTTCCCCTTCTTGCAGTATCCTGTTGGTCACATTTCAGCGAATAGTGCACAGTTTTGGTCACCAGGTTCCTAAGATAGTGCAGCTATGGAGCTGGTAGGGGAAAGAGCAACGGAATATTTCCGGACATAAAGGGATGTCCTGCACTGGCAGGCTGGAGGAACTGGATCGCTTTAGTCTTGAACAGAGAAGACTGCAAACGCACCCAAGTGAAGTAACTACAAAGGCGCTAACAAGTGAAGGTGATGGGCTTAAGAATAAATGGTGCAACGACAAGCTGAGGAAAGTACTGGAAGCAGGGAATCATGTTGGAAGCTGAGGACAGGAGGCATGAAAGCTTTACACCAAGACTTGTAGGAGTATGCAGCAACTTCGTTTTGTTAAGCAGGGGTTTGTCTTCCACCAGAGCCTTTTGCAAAAGGATATTGTTATTCTGGGGCAGCAGTGCATTCTGATTAATTACAGTCAGGAGTGTCGTCCTTGGACTTTTCAGAAACTGATTTTCATGGAAGGATGCGATGAATGTATGACTGTAATATGGAAGGCTGCAGAGCGACTCTGGGAAGGTGGTGCTTTAGTGGAGGGGTCAGTTACAGTGGGTATAGAAAGTCACCACCCCCTTTCAAAACTTGTACCTTTTGTTGTCTGACACTCTGAAAATAAAAACAAATAAGGCTTGTTCCATTTTTGTTTACACACAGTAACCCACATTAGCCAAGTGAAAATAAAACATTCTGAATTACTGTTACAACTGTAAAATACCTTATTTGGATAAGTGAATACCCCTCTTACAATTGCGTTTGTACACTTGCTCAGGTCTAACCAATCACCTTACAGATTGCAAAACAAACTAATTGGCTCCCACCTGTCATCAACTTTGGTGATTTGGATCAGTTCAGAATAAAAGCAGCTCTTTCTAGCAGATTCTACTGAATCAAGAAGACCTATGAGATAAAGTTGTAGAAAGGCACAAGCCAGGAGATGGTATAAAAAGATTTCAAAGGCTTTAAGTTTCCCATGGAGCACAGTCAAGACCAGCATTAAGAAGCGGAAGGCATGTGGCTCCACCCAGACCTTGCCGAGATCAGGCCGTCCCTGCAAGAAGGAGACTAACAGAGAGGTTACCAAGAGGCTTCTGGCAGCTTTGAAGGGGCTACAGGCCTTTATGGCACAGACTGGTCATTCTGCGCATGTGACAACAGTATCACAAGCGAGCCACTAATCTCAATCTAGCCTGTATTAAACGCATACAAAAAAAGCCCCTCCTTAAAATAAGACACATCAAGTCTCGTTTGTTTTGCTAAAAAGCTCCTTAAAGATTCTGTGGCCAAGGGGCAAAATGTGCTGTGGACAGATGAGACCAAAACTGACTTTCTGTACCCACTGTAAATGGGAAGGGGGTACATAGTTAACACAAGGTTTGGAAACTTGAGCTCCTCTTTCTCAGGTACCTGAACATGAAACAAGCTTTGTGTTTTGTCTCATGTGAACTGATATCACAGGATAGGAACATACTGTATCAGAGTCACCTTCCCTGAGCACTTTCAAGTCAAGATTCAGAACCTTCTTCAGAAGAAGAATGTCAAACCCTGTACTGTGTGTAATTCTGCTGTCTCCTGTAATTGTGTGATTTGTTCTTACTGTAAAATGCTTTGAAAGGTCACTTTTAAAGCACCATGTAAAATAAAGTAAAATTACATTTTATTAACTTTTAATTTCTCATTGGAAGAGCAGTAAAGACTTATTTCACATTCCAGCTCTGTATTTCATGATCCCTGGATGTTAAAGTGAACTGTAACTATAACTGGATGGCATTGGATATTTGGCTTGAATTGAGGGGGAGGGTGGGGCTCCACAGAGACAGTCACAGGCTGGTACGGTGTGACTGATGTCGAACACGGTACATGCTGCATCTGTGCTGCATGAGGGCATGAGGTGGCAGCTGCTGTCTTGTTTTCTGCCCTGTTCCCGTCATGCCCGGACAGGCAACTCACCTGTCCACATCCTGCCTGCCACACGCTATCCAGCTCATTCTGCTGACCGTCGGCAGGGCTCGGGTGTCAGGAAGGGCCGGGAAGTGAGGTCCTGGCATGCGATGACTGTGGTGCCGCATTACTCGTGGGTCTGAGGTGCAGTTTGTGGCGCAGGACGACTTGTGAGCTCTGGAGCTCAAATCCTTAAAGCAGCAGAGGCTTATAAATCCATCTGAGGCTTTTTCCAAAGCATCAATGACAAGAAAGAGTCATTCTCTCAATGTCATACACCCCTCCCTCAAATGGAGCCCATGGTCCGTGTCCTCGGGTGGATGTGGCTTTGAATCATCGTGAGTTAGCTTGGAAAGTATACACAGCACAGGCCAGGTCAGGCCCATTATTTAAAGGGCACCCGTTGGATCTGAACCTTCAGAGTTATTTTTCTCTTACCCAGCACACAGATTAGAAAGAAATAGAACAAAAACAGGGGAAAAAAGTCTTCAAAAATAAATTCCTCAAATTGAGGCACATCTAGGGTATAAATTCTGTCTTCTCTTAAATCTCTATCTTGGATAAAAACAAATTGAGTGATTGAAATAGAGTTCTGTATGGTTTTTATTATGAAGATAGGACCTGGAATGGTTTTATCAGCCTTCCAAAAATGTAAAAGGTCCATGTCTTTTTCTTTCTTGTAATGTGTACATGAAATTTTCTCTGCTGTAAGAGTATCTTAGTATTGTGTGATGTTTTTGCTTTTGAGATTGTATTTTGCTAGAGGATTCATAAGTTTATTAATGCACTTTGGAAGTGCTTAACTACTGATTTGCCAGATAATCTTACAAAAACAATAATTGATGTGCTTCCAAAAGATTCGATTCTGAAGCTGAGTTTTTTTCTTCTCATCTGATGTTCAAGATGCTGTTTTGATTTTGTTGGTAAAAATCTGTGGAATCCACATTATTCTCTATGTTAATGAAGTATTGCAGTAATCATTACACTAATTTGTTGCTTTAACAAAATAAAAGAAGTGTGGCTTTTTTTGAAAATAAAATACAGGGGGTTTTGAGTGAGGTGTGGTATCCATCCAATGTGTGCTGCCAAAGAACACAGCATTGCTCAGCTCCACTTGAAACTGCCTGAAAGGCTTTCACCCTTTTTCAGCTTGGGATTAACCTGCCCCTTTTCCTCGGTAGTGATGGGTTTCTCTTCTGGCTCTTGCTATGAGTGCAGGAGGTAACCCTGTTACACCGGTGCCAGGATAGTGGTACTATAATGATGCCCCCATTGCCCAGAGTGTGTGTCGGCAAGTACAGCTGTATCCCAACCTGTAAACATGGCAATATTTTCCCCTCCAGTTCCTGTTGGAAACCAGTCCCCTCCCCTTTCATGTTCTAGCTCAAATGTATGCACAAAGCACTCCATCACTCCCTCAACTGTATGTTTCCATAAAGCACTCCACTACTACCTTAAATCTATGTGTAAAAATAAAGCACTCCATGCCTGAGGGCCACATAATGTTTGTCCAGCTTTACCATGGCTGTACATATAACTGACTTCAGTTTACATGCACCTCAAAGTGCAGAATATTTAGCACTTGTATGGGACCCTACTGTGTTCACCTCCCTGGTACTGGAAAGCTGTTGGGGGGGGGGGTGATGCTGGATTTTAGATGTGAATCAATAGTAGCACTTTTACAAAGGCAATACACACACAAGGCATCTCTTTTGTGGACCTGTGTGGCTGGAAAGGTTGGGGTTGCCCAGGTTGAACGGGTGCCCTCATTGACAAGCCCAGGAATGTGGTAAGTTCTGTGCAGGATCATAAGAGAATTTCCCTTGCTGTTCTTGCCTGTGGGACAGAGCTGTGGAAGCGAGAGCTAACTGTGCAGGAAGACCTTTGGAAGTGCAGTTGGAAATCCATGCCTGTTTTGGTGGGTTCGTGCCACAGTTTTTGTTTTCTGCAGGAACATACCAAAGCACAATGGCTTCCTAGAAACTGGATAGTTGGAGCCTTCGTGTGAGGTTATTTTTTATGGGACTTGGGGGGATAACCTACTAAACAAAGAGCAAGGACTAAAAGTCTCAGCAAGTCCACGTGAAAATGCCTTTCTGGTTTAAGAATCACAATCGGTACTGGCTACAAGCTTAGACTGAAAAAATGCATCAGGATGTATATTGTATAGTACACTTTAATAAGAGCTCAGATATTGTCTGGCATGCAGCACAGCATAACATTCAATTGTAAGCAGTTTGTAACATTTTTAAAAATCCGAAACAAAGCATGGTGTGCAATATTAAATGTGCATAAAATGAGTCTTCATGAACTTGCAGATGTATTGGAATGAAAACATTGGCAGTATTTTTTATTAATTTACCTTCCACAGCCGTAAATGAAGTGCACACTTTCATCCATCTTGTCGTCTCTTCATCCTGTTCAGGGTGGCGGGGGAGCTGGAGCCTATCCCAGCAAGCAACGGGCACAAGGCAGGGTACACCCAGTTCAGTCTGCAGCAAGAGCACCACAACAGCGTTCCCTCACATAGCTTCGGCACCTCGTCATTTAACACCGATTGCATCTTTAAAAGCTCTAAACTACACACATCTTCGTAACTGGGTTCGATCTCTTCGTCCCTCGTAGAGCGGAAGCCCCAACACATCGATCAGCTAACGTGTCTGTCGTTGCCGAATCCAACTTTACTGTGGAAAACGGCAAAAGTATCTATATTCGAGGTTTGATCACAATGTTTCATTGACCAACACTGATTTGTCATCACGTTTTGATTGACCCGTACATAGAAGGAACCAGGCCCGCGTCAACATAAATCGATAAAGGCCTTTTCCTTATATTTTCGATGTTATTTTCACGTAATTTATGAGGAAACACATACGTATTGTGCTTATTAAACATGCGTTTTATGCAGCTTTTTAAAACAACTCACTTTATAAGTAATTCTATTTTTTTCTAATAATTTAATACTAATAAAGCAGAAATTTGATGAAAGATACCCATGTCGCGAAAGAAAAACTTTGCAAAAAGACTTAACGCTAAAAGTTAAAAGCGCCTTGATTGACTTCTGGCCAGATACAGTTGCCCCGGCTGTGTTTCTGAAACAACGCTTAATAGCTTTTTGCTACATCCCCAGACTGAAAAAAAAAACCTTGTTTCTATACATGAACAGACAAGTCTTGAAACTGTGTTTATACTACATTCGCCTCCGGGCATCTGGTACCAGGAAGCAAAACGACATAAAATCACTTATTATCAACGTCTGATAGTAGCGTGAAGAACTTGGAGATAAGTGGAGGCGATTTAAAATTTAAAAAAGGACTCATATTTTGGCAGAATGCTCAAGGAATTACAGTTAACCACGAAGAAATAACAAAGCAGGTATTTCAGCTGCTTGTCACTTCGTTTAATGTTACTGCTATACTCCAAATACGCTACTGTGGTAGCTGAAGGACTTTTATTTTGATTGAAATCCGGCTATTTACATACACTTCCGGATCATTCGTGTCGCTTAATGTAGCTTACGACACGTGACTTGAAGCTAGTTCCGTTGAGCGCCGCGAATGATCCGGAAGTGTATGTAAATAGCCGGATTTCAATCAAAATAAAAGTCCTTCAGCTGCCACAGCAGCAACATTAAGCGAAGTGACAAGCAGCTGAAACACCTGCTCTATTCTTTCTTCGTGGTTAACTGTAATTCTTTGAGCATTCTGCCAAAATTGTAGACTCGCTCAATCTAGCTAGCATGACGCTACTGAGAAACAAGAGCGGGCAGCGCTCTGTTGGTATTTTTAGATATTTAAAGAATTTGAATACATTTTAAAGAATTTGTAAATTCTTTGAAACACGCAGTAGTTTTATGCACTCTACACTTATGCAGGTAAAATCTTGCAGACGATAGAATGACATTTAACATTATATGAACTTTTTTTATTTTTATTTAGAACTCCCAAGAACAATGTCCTTAAAATTTAATTTTGTATTTCTTTAATTCACCGTCCTTAGAAGTTAAATTAATACGAACACTAATATAATTTGACCAAGAACAGACAGAATGCCTGAAAGCTGTTGTGTGATGACACAAGAAAAAAATGTGTTCAATATCAGACACACAAAAACTGCAGATGTTACAAAGTTCAGTCTTTTTCTCAGGAATTCTTTAGAAGAATATGTCTTTAGTTTTTGAAGAAGTGGAAAGAGCAGTATACAGTGCCTTGCGAAAGTATTCGGCCCCCTTGAACTTTTCAACCTTTTGCCACATTTCAGGCTTCAAACATAAAGATATAAATTTTTTATTTTAGG